CGGATCCAGTGCTGTGTGATGATGTCACAGTGCAGTCTGGTGTGATGATGTCACAGTGCAGTCCGGTGTGTCTCAGTGTACTGTACAGCGGATGCAGTGCTGTGTGATGATGTCACAGTGCAGTCCGGTGTGTCTCAGTGTACTCTACAGCGAATGCAGTGCTGTGTGATGATGTCACAGTGCAGTCTGGTGTGATGGTGTCACAGTGCAGGTTGGTAATGGTTCAGTAGAGTGTGTGCAGTGCTATGTGATGACGTCACAGTGTACTGAAGAGTGGGTACAGTCTGGTGCAGTCTCAGTGTACTGTAGAGTGGGTTCTTTTGCAGAGGTCGATGTATTGAAGAAGTCGAGCCCAGTCTCACCTGATTGTGCTGAAGATGGCATAAACATCAGGGTTCTTCTCATCCTTGGTCCTCAGCAAAAACACATCCTCTGTAAAACACACACAGGGAAACGGTGCTATGTCAGTTCCGGCGTGCTGCCTGCAGGGGGCGCTGTGCTGGCTCGGTGTGCTGCGGGTGGGATGTGTGCGCGCGGGGGCTCTCACCCAGCTGGTCGAAGTGGGTGTCGATGCCGTGCGGTCCGGGCACTGAGCACACCAGCCGGGCCTTGATGAAGGTGCTCCACTTGTTCACCAGCACGCGCTGGCCCCCCGCGTCGTTCTGCACTCCAGAGAGAGAGAGACAGCAGTTACAGTGAGAGGCACAACGGGGGGACGGCAGCTGACCCCACACTGACCTCCCGGACGGCCCACAGGGAAACCAGCTGCTGGGTCGCAGGAGGACAGACTGAAAGCACTCCATTTCAGTCACACGGAGAAAACATGTTTACTGTACGTGTGACACTGCACACGCAAGAGTGCAGACATTCGTTTGCGGAAGTTTGCACCACTGGATCTTGAGGACTGGTTGTGAGTCTTCCCAGGGCTGTCCCCCCAAGCTCTTGTCCGGTCTTGGGGCCAGCGCTGTGAGCAGAGACACTGCCTTCAGGTAACAAAGCAGTTCTTATGGAGTTCAAGACCCGGCTGGCCCCCCTAGACGAAACAGCGTTTTTCTACACTGCGTCTACCACGTGTAGACGCAAGGCTTGTGCGTTTGAAATGCTTGAAGAAAAACAGAGCATGCACTAGAAGGAAACATAGGGGCGCAAAATGATCTTGTTTCCATGGGGAAATACTTCCCAAAGCTCTTGAACTCCAGTAAAAAGTCTAGTGTAAGTGGTGATGTCCCTCTAACTCTGTCTTGATCAAGCTCTGCGTGGATCAAGTGCTGCACATGAGATGGTGCAGTCTTGAGCCACCCAGCTTGTTTCCTTTCTTACCCTGTGGGGGGCGCCTACAAGATACAAGCAGTCAGCCAATCGGAGCAAGCGCACAAGACACTGCTCCTGTTCGTTTGCTGAGCTTGTGCCCAAGTGATATGAACAGAAGAAGCCATTCAGTCCCTCAGAGCTTGGCATTCTCTGGCAGCAGATGAATGCATCACAGCACCGAGCTTGATCTTTCAGAAGACGCCAGCCCCTCCTGCCCTCCAGACTGTGGCTTGTGTTTAATACCATTATTCGGGGGCAGGACCACAGATCACTCCCCCCCAGCTTTAAATAACCTTCATTGAGCTACACTGGACTGAATTGAATGGCTATTTAAATCAGGGATGTTCAGACACCTTAAATAACCCCTTCCTTAAGACTGGGGAGACTTGAAAGCTATTGAACGATTTTAATGGACGTAGCACAGGCTAACCAGTCTCCTGCGCAAGTGTTCACAATTAAACAGCCCCCTGTCTCTGGGGATTGATGATGTGATGCCCATTTTGTCACCCTGCTGGACTGGCCTGAAGGGACCTCAAACACCCGCTTGGCCACCCCCTTGGGAACTGGGGCCTTACAGCTACGATTTAGGGGCAGGGGGTTTCCCGGGCGCCCTCACCGCGCAGACGCGCCCCACGCGGCTGTAGATGGCCCCCGCGCCGCCCCCGGACTCCATGGCCCTCTCGGTGAAGAAGAAGTAGACCTTGTCGTTGTCACGGTCGTCGTTGTCGGGGATGAGGTGAGCCGCCACGAACTTAGGGTCTGAGAGAGGCGAGAGACAGACAGGGGACAGATCTCTGAACAATGTTCCTTAACACGAACAGTGCTTCTTCAGTGTCGCCTATTAACCTGTCTGCCTCCGACGGGTGAGTGCTATCCGTCACTGGCACATTTCGGCATGCATGCATTTGTACCACGTTGCATTGCTCTGCAGTGTGCACTTTGCATACACACAGTACAGGTGTTGAAGCAGAGTGACTCTTTATGCGCTCGGTATGTACATGTGTACATACCGTACATGTGTCCTGGCCAAATTTCCCATTGGTCCTTACCAGTCATGGCCTCCTAATAATCCCCCTCTATGAACTGGCTACATTAATCTGCTCTCCTCCCCACTGAGAGCTGCTGTGTGGGGAGCGTTCTGGCGCACTATGGCTGCCGTCGCATCATCCAGGTGGGGCTGCAGATTAGTGGGGGTGGAGGGGAGTCCCCATTACCTGTAAAGCTATTTGAGTGGAGTGTCCAGAAAAGCGCTATAGAAGTGTAAGCAATTATTATTAATTATTATTATGTGTATGTGCGGCCTATCACACCAGACTGCGCCCACATGCACACTGCTATGCCTCTCAAGCACAGGCACAGTACAGCTGGATTAGTGCTGTTCAGTACAGCAGGGACAATGCTGTAGAGCATGTGATGTGGCGAAAGCTCAGTAACCATCCCAGCATTCCATCCCCCTTTCAGTACAATGGCCAAAAACGGCATCCGCACAGTCCCTGAAGTGAGGTTTGTAAGGACCGCCGCGAGGGTATCTGTGTGCACGCGGGGCTGGGGCGCCGCACGCTGGCCGCCGTACCGCGCAGGAGGCGCTGGTCCGTCTCGGTCCTCATGGTGGAGCGGCCGCCCAGGCTGCGGAGGATGACGGCGTCGTGGCCCAGGAAGTCAGCGGTCAGGCCCGTGTAGAGCTCACCGCCTGCGGGGGGGGGGGGGAGAGAGAGCAAGTAAGAATGTCTGCAGACAGGACGGGTCCATTCCGACTGTCTAGCCTCTGTGACCGCTATCAGAGAACTGATCTGAGCATCTGGGCGGAGCGGTGGCTCTGTGGTTCAGGATCTGTGTCTGTGACTGGAAGGTTGCCGGTTCAAATCCCGCGGCCGGCAGAGGAATCCTACTCCGTTGGGCCCCTGAGCAAGGCCCTTAACCCCAACTGCTCCAGGGGCGCCGTACAATGGCAGACCCTGTGCTCTGACCCCAAGCTTCTCTCCCTGTCTGTGTGTCTGTGTCTCCATGGAGAAAAGCTGGGGTATGTGAAAAGATGAATTCCTAATGCAAGAAATTGTATAGGGCTAATAAAGAAACATTATTATTATTATCATTATCTCTCCCAGCCGGTTCTTGAAAGAAGCCGGGATACAGTCACATGGCGGGGCAAGCTTGTTCCACACTCCCACAACCCTTTGGGTAAAGGAGTGCCTCCGGCCCTGATTGGAGGAGCTCGCCCAGTCGTGTTTTTGAAAGAAGCTTCAACAACGGGGCTGTGCAGCCTGTTCCATGCTCCCGCCACCCTGCGAGGTAAGACGCCCCTCCTGTTTTCGGTTTTAGATGCTTCTCCCTGTGGTTTCCACTCATGCCATCTGGCTCGTGTTTCAGCCTTCACGCTGAAGAGTCCTGGGAGACCCAGAGAGCAAGTTAGGGAGTTCAGCAGCCAGAGAAAGGGGAGTAAGAGGAAGTACTGTAACAGCACCTTAATGGAGAAAGGCAGGAAGCGAGAGAAAGATAGACCGAATCGGAAGGAAAGGAACAGCTCTTTCTGCAGAGCTGATGATAAGCAATGAAGAACTCTGGCAGGCGATTTCACTGCCAGGTCACAGCGGAAAGCAGAAATGCCCAAAGCGATGACCGGATCGGAGTGGACCGGGTCGGGGACTGGAGCCGAGAAGCACTTCCCCGCAGAGCCAGGAGACCTCCTTGTGAAGGAAAAGGTGCCCGAGGGCCCCCGGTCAGAGACAGTCCCCAGGCAGAGGGGCTACACTGGCCCGGGCTGCAGCCCGGAGCACAGCCGGTTCTCGTCCACACAGGGCCCAGTTAAGGAGAGGGAGTGGCACAGAAAGCACCGAGGACCTCATCAGTCTTCACCAGCCCCGTGGCTCTTTTCCAAAACAGGAGACCCGGGCGGACAGTTTCCCGAGCAGCACTCCTGCGGGGAAGATGAGAACGGAGGTGGGGCTTTCGACTTTCGGATTCGTCGGGGAGAGAGCGTTATTAATCTTGGAATGACAAGATCGCTTTTTCTTCGTAGGCGACTCCCGCCGAGATGATATCAGCTGAGCTGTAATTCATCACTGCGGAGGAGGAGGGGAGCGAAGCCTGGCCTGGCAGGTGGGGGAGGTGAGAGGGGCAATTCACACTTTTCTCCCATCCTCTTCTGCTCCCTCTCTCTTTCTAAGTTCTTGTAGTTTTCCTGTGCTTGGAGCGCTCCGTGGGTCATGTGATTTTGTCTTCTGCAGGCAGGGTGGGACCCGCCCCTTGTGGGCTCGGAGGACTCGGTCCAAACGCGCAGTTCAGCTCATCTTGGCTGCGTCACGGCGTCTCTGTGCCAGGACTGAAGCCCAGGGCCTCCTGGGATTCCCAGAGCTGCCCTGAACGTTACACTGGAATAAGGGAGGACAGGGGAGAGACACTACACTGGAAACCGATTCACTGGAGATCAGCTTAGCATCTAGATCAGAGTTTTTAATCAAATTGCTTGCACTTCCCGGAAACAGTGTCCTTCCTGAAGCTCCCTAACCAAATGGAAATCTCTTTTTAACAACAGAAAACAAGATCTTGGCTGTCACTGTGCACTAATACTAAATTTTTCAGATGCATTTCTGACATAGAGTCTCTGTAAGTGCGCAGGAGACAAAGAAGAGCAGAATTTGCTGTAATTTGCAGTAAGCAGCTGCACCTGAAGAGCTGTGAGAAATTTGATTTGGACCAATTAAGTCAATTACAAGTTGAGTTTTGCTCATTAAGAGTAGATTTGGAATGATCACCTGCGGACACACCTGCCCTCTGGGAAGTTGCTTGCTTCAGGAATCATTCCTAAATTAGCATCTTTCTTTCATAATGTGAAAATAAAACCCAGTTTTGGTGTGAAGAGTATCTACAAGCTGCACAGTTATTGGGAGCACTGGGACATACCAATGAAGGTGCTGGCGAAGGGGTGGCTGGGATCATGAGGGCACTTCCCCCGCCCATTCTCCACGTTGGTCGGATCCATCGAGAAGACATGCTGCATGGGGAATAGGGAGGGGGGTGGGACAGGGATGAAACAGACAGAAGAAATCTTTAACACCCAAGGCGCTGGGTTCACAGGAGTCTCAGATCTAAGACACACTTGGCTTCAAGTTGCCACCTTGCAGGGCGTCCTCTGACTTGACCTCTTTACTCAACGCCCGCAGGTCCTGCCTCACATCAGCTGGCCACCATGCTGCAGCTCTTGTTCCACGCTCCTCCCACTCTTTGTGTGAAGACGTGACCTCCTGATATCAGAGTTAAATGCACTTCCACATAGTTTCCTCTTGCACTCTGTTCATGGAATTCTCCTTCACTGTGTAAGCCCCTGTTCAGCATTTCAAAAATTAATCAAACTGTTACTCTCGTACAGCTTGCACCAGACAAGAGGCACTATCAAAAGGCGTTATTTTTTTCTTCCAAGACCATCAGAAGGTCAGGGGCGTGAGGCGCTCAGTCAAACTGTTGTGCCCAGTTGGCAGTTTGTCCGCAATATGTTGCCTTGTTTCAACCCGTCAAATAAACTTTCCAAGGAAAAAAGCACATGTCACATTTTCAGCGAGACTCTGATCCTCCCCTCCCCGATAACGCTAAGCATAAATAAACGCGGATCACAGGCCTATTGTAACTGAAGTCCCTGAGAAAATGTCGAGGCCTGTGTAGAGCTTCTGTGCATTGTTCCAGCCCGTCCAGAGCTGAGTGACCTTCTCACGAACTCGCCTGCTCTGGGTGTTTGGGCCCGTTGTGCACAATCTTACATTGTGGCTCTCTGGTCAATGGGCTGCAAACTGAAAGAAGTTAGAGACTTCCCCAAGAGCCTCGCAGTTCCCGTCCCCCACACTGCGCACGGAGCAAAGCCGCGCGGAGACGTTGTCTTTTAGGGTGTCGCACCTCCATCACAGGGGGACCCCAAAACATACTGCAGCACCCCAGAAGGAAACAGGCTTCGCGATGCACCTTTGCTTTCATTATACGACTGCTTAACAAGTGCACTGAAACCCCCCTGCAGCTCCACTGCGAGAGCTGCTACAGAACGAGCCCCCTACTCCAACCAGGAGCGGAGCCACAGAGCTGCAGGGGTTGCAGAGTCTTCTGGTCTTTGTTCAGTCTCAGCTCTCGTTTCCAGGACTGGAACTGCAGGGCCCTGTTGTATGCTAATGCCTTGCAGTCAACATGACTGCGACAAAACACGGAGCATGAGACAGAGTGGGCACAAACACGGCAGCCTTGCGCACCGAGGAGGTCTGAACTGAAACGCAGCCTGTCCAAGGCCGATACCTGCTGCAAAGCTGGAGAAGTCACTGCCTTTGCACGCACACTCTTTGAAATGCGAGATTTTCTGCATATTTTGCTCTTAAATGGCAGTGATTCCCAAAGCAATTTCGACGAACTCGATGAGCTAACTTAAAAACGGGAGTCCCGGTAAGAAATAAAAGGAATGGCGTTTGCAGTCCCTGCTGTGGAATGAATATCGGTGCCCTCGCTTTCATCTCCCGCTGGCTCCGGCTCTCTCCTGCCTCCTCGTTCGCCCTGAGTTGACCCTCTCACCCCCCCCCACTGCCCCCCTGCCCGGCGCGTCTCTGTCCCAAGCAGACCCCCCGCAGTCAGCCCCTCCTCGCCTGCTGTATGAGTGTGAGCAGATCGGGGGGGCGGGGGGCGGTACTCCGTATTATCGGGGTGCGATATGGCTTCCACACCCTCAGGATTCTGCCCCATCGAACAAAGCGGCCAGCTCCCAGCAGGCCGGGCCGGCCAGCGCACACGCGCTGACCAGTCCGGCCCGCCGCTCCGACCGCCGCTGACCGGCGCCGTGAGCTGGCGTGGGAAAGGTATCCCCTCGACCGCCCCCAGCCTCCCGCGATCCCGCGCTCGGCTGACCGCTAAAACCAAGAGCCGCACGGAGCCCGGCCTCCAGCGCCAAATGGTTTCCACCTCCCTCTCGCTCTTGTTATCATAACACACGTCAAGCCAGCCACCCCGGGTCGTCTTCAGAGAGAGGACAACCCGGATGTTTCCGTTCTGTAGTCCAAGTTTATTTTCCTTTGCTGAAGCAGCTGTGCTGTTTGAAGGCAGATTTAAACAGACGTGACTCGAGCGACACAGAGGGCAGAGATGCCTCCCATCCCTCTCAGTAAGGGGGGGGGTCTGCAATTTCACAGCAGCGTGGACAGGCACACTGGACTGCATGGCCGTAGCTGGAAGACAGGGGGCCCCTGACTCACTAGAGCGTCTCCTCTGCTGCCTCTGTAGAAGGCGTGAGTGGTCATGAGCTTAGAAGAGGCATCGCTGACAAATAAATACAGTTCAACAGCTTATTTCGGTAGCAGACGTGTGCATCTGGAGCTTCACATTGTGCTTCGGAAGTGAGCCTTGTCCCAGCTCCTGTGTCATTGAAATGGAGCACTGGGGAGTGATGTGATTTCACTGGGTGGACAAAGGGGATCTACTGTATGTCGGCACCAGCGCAGGGTGATTCTCCTCCCCCAAGATGAAAACAAGGCATATGAAATGGTTGTGCCAGAGCTTGCATATGGGGCAAATGGTCCCCTAGCTCGGTGTGGCCTCTCTTTTTGGTGCCCATGATGGCCTTGCCTTTACTCTTCTCTCTGGCGGACAATGGAAACAGTGGCGCCCTCTTGTGGACGGGTTATTCATGGTACTGGGGCTGTGTGGCCCAGGGACTAGGGGGCAGCCTAGACAGCTGTAAGAAACTGGGGTCTGGTCTTGCAACCGGTTTATCTGGGCTTTTTAAAGCCACTAATCATGTGGCTTACAAACCCACTTCCTTTTTTATTGCGGGCAACTACAGCCTGTGGAATTTGAGGGGGAAACTTTCATCAGGGTAAAAAACTCCCACCGCACAGGCATGGCACTGATTCCAGGCTGGCGTGTGGTGCCTTTGGTCTGCCCTTGGCGCACAGCACTGGGCAGGGCCTGGCATCGCCCCACTGTCTGGTTCCCACAAGACTCCACCACGCAGAGCAGGAAGATCCCAGCAGCCTCACCGAGAGTCAGGAGAGGAGGCCTGGAGGAGCCCCTGGACAGCTGAGCCAGATGGATAGCAGGATGATAATCCGGACCTCCCCCCACACTGACTCATTAGGAGCCCGCCTCTGGGGTCTGACCGCAGGCTGACGGTGCCCGCCCTGCCTGGGTGAGGGAGGGGGTGGCCCCATTAACCAGCCCGTGACACTGGTCTAAATGGGCTCTTTCTCTCCCTCCGACAAGCAGTGAGAATTCACGCTGGGAAGGACATGACCCGCCTGCCAGCCACACGTTTATTGTACGTTTTATTGGACGCTCCAAGTGCGATTAATTTCCTCTCCCGGCGTGAGCCAGATATCTCGTTATTCCTGCCCGCGTCAGGGATATTGATAGCCTGTCAGTCTTTAACGTGACATACGAGGGGCGCACAGATGTTTATCAACAGTAGCTCCTTGGTTTCAGCTTAGTGGGAGATACTCTGAGCCCTGTGAAACACTACTGAGAGGAAAAAGGGCCGCAGTAAAACTTACAGTGCTCCACGCAGACTGCTAAAATGACAGATTGTCCTGCTCGTTCATGAGACAGAACTATTCTGGAAACCATGCGATACTTAGACTTTTAACTGTTATAAAACACAGTCGCATTTCTTCACTGTGAGGTGTTGCTGTGTGTTTAAGTTAAACGTGTTAAACGTGTGTGCAGTAATATTGTAGAAAACATTCAGTCAAACAAAGCGATGCTACTGTAGTACTCTGAAATGCCCATGACATGAGGAAGAAATGTTCATTAGTAATAAATACAGTAAGCATCTGTTCATTGAACCATGAACATGGAGAGAACACACAAACTCCACACAAATAGTACCCTAGGTCTGGAATCGCACCCAGGCAGCAATCCAAATATGTTATCTATATATTATTATATAAATATACATCATACATTATTTATCTAGGCCTAGAAATATCAAGTGCATTGAGAAGGTGGATTACTCAGTGGAATTAGCCTTAAAGATCTTTGATAGAGAAGCAGAATTAAGATCTAGCTAAGCATTGAAAAGGGCTGCCTGCAGTGAGCCCCGCAGTGCAGAAGGGGGCGCTGGCTCTCACCTCTCCCCGGTGACCCACGTAGACGAAGGCGCACATTGGCTGGAACGCGCCGGTGCCGCAGGCCAGGAGGTGGGTGCGGTTGTAGGGGTGCAGCACCCGGACGTAGTTGGCGCACTCGCTCTGGAAGAGACCAGCGAGAGGGAGATGTCTGGGTAACACGTTCCCTGCTGCCATGTTATGACTTGGGGCTTTACGCAAAGGGTGGTGGGGGTGTGGAACTCGTTGAAGCCAATGTCCAGTCAGGACAGGAGGCGTTTCTTTGCACAAAGGGAGGTGGTAGTGTGGATCAAGCCACCCAGCATTGTTGTTGAAGCTTATGCCCTGGTGTATTTCAAGAAGTGGCTGGGGGAGATCCTGGGATTAATTAACTACTCACTGCCAGACACACTAGACTGTGACCTTTCTCACTTCTAACACCATCAGTTAAAACTGCTCTAAAAAGGCAGCCAAGGAGCAATGAGATTAAACACCAAGAGCTATTGCAAGTACAGGTCCTCAGCCTTCAGCCGGTACCTGCGGCGTAAAGTGAGCTGGAGAGTTCAGGACTGTCCCTTGAATTGGGTGAAAAGCTCTTACAGGTCTACCCCAGCACCCCTCCCCTCCAGGTCAGGCCTCGGGGACCCAGCTGGGTGAGCTGGAGTAATCAGGCTTCAGTACTTCAAGTGCTTCCTGCTCAGGGTTACAGTGTCAGCAACTGAGCCTGCAGCTCTCTTCTGATGGATTAAAAGTTAATCCGCGGTGTTCCACGCTGCTGCCCAGGAAAAAAAATTAATTCAGGTTTAATGCAATGACTTTCCAAGCCCCAGCCAGGACGCTAGGTGCCGGCAGCGCCAGCCCTCAAATCCCCCTCCCCCAGGTCCTGTACAACCCCTCTCCACGACGGTAGAAATAACTGCTCTATTTGACAATTCTTTGACAACAACAATAACATGACTTCTGCGTGCACTTTCTGACTTCAGAAAGGGGCTCCTAAAACATCCACGTTACCAAGAGGAGCCGAGGAAAGTGATTCGAAAACAAAGTCAAATAAAACCAAATGCAAATCTGATGTTTTCCAGGGGTTGTTTTCCCAGGGCCAGACGGAGACGGGGGAGCATGCCAAGAAGCAGGCGGAGAACAGGAAAACAGGGGCAGGAGCGCTTCCTGTGTGTAGCGTAGGAGAGCGAAGGCCTGGCCGGCCCAGCGGAAACCTGCCTGCCCTGAGTTTTGTTCCCCGAGGTCAGGAGGTCAGACTCATCAAGGGGGTCAAGCAGGAGATGGGTTCGCCCAGCTGCACAGGGGCTACAGTTGCTGAGAGAGGTTATTTCCTGAAAGGCGTGTGGGGGACACAGAGGGAGATTAATGTCCACCAGCTCCGCCTACCACAGCTCCAACAGGTGGCTCCAACGAGACAGCCTCTCTTTCTCTGCGCCTGCTTCAATGGGCAAGGCCTGAGGCCCCCCAGACCCAACAATCTGACTCTCCCGGGCGCAGGCAGTGTCCAGCTGGGCTCGGAGAAGAGGAGGAGGAGAGCTTCTGCGCCCTCTTCTCCGTCAGAACCAGGCCCAGGTCCCAGTCGGACCGGAAGCTGCTGGAGCTGGTGGGGCATGCGCTGCGGTCCCCCTGTCATCCCAGCCTCGGCTGGGGGCCGCGCAGCTGGGAGGGCTGGGATTTCAGGGCTGCTGGCGGGCGGCCCTGTGCAGAGCCCCACAACATTAAAACACCAGCATCTGTGTCAGGCCCTGCGCCATTTAGTAGGGAGCAGCAACTTGACCGTACCTGCTCTCCTGCGTGCATGCTACTGAGCTTTTTTTATTTTAAAAGTCAGGGCTGTTGTTTGGAATACGGTGAGGTTAGGTGCCACACCTTACACCACGTGCACAACACTAACAACACAGGAATAATACTTAAATAAGTGCGTACACTGACAGGAATATGCCTCTGTTAGGAAGACCAGGTTGCTTTACCCTCTACTAGACTATGTATCAAACCAGGAGTTTGTAATGTACTTGGAGGCTGGTCAGGGCACAATACCATGAGACTGGCATGGATGTGATCCGGTTCCCTGGACTGTTCTGCGAGGAGCTGGGGTGTGTCCGCTCGCTCCCTGTCAGCCCGTTGGGGGGGGTGAAACTTTAACATCATTTCCCTAATCTCTTTAAAGGGAAAGAAAAATGCCTGAATCCTGTCTGATGCCTTCTGGATTACAGGCAGCGGTACAGGAAAAACACCAGTGTTTGTCTTCTGTCAAAGCTGACAAGGGTTTATAAAAAAAGGGGGCAGGCTCATGAATTAGCGCACACACTGCGCTTTGTGTGCACGCTGGGCTGCTGGAAATAACACTTCCACAGCCTGTGGTATCAATGGCAGCTTTGTGCATGAGCCCTGCACGTCGCACTGGGCAGGACGCCGCTGCAGTAAGTTCTCTGATGTGGCATGCAGACACATACAGGCTTCTCCTATGTCTCACCTAAATAAGGAAGGATTTTCCTCCCTCCTTGGGGGCAATTCTGAGTTTCCGGGGCCTGACAGGGCACTTGTTCCACTGCCCTCCTGTTACCCAACCCCCTCCCTGGGCCGCCCGCTGCAAAGGCAATACCGCAGCGAGGACTGGGGGCCAGGGGGGTTAATTAAACCTGGAGGAGAGGGTTGCGACCCCGCGGGATAACGATCTTAAGGCAAACACATCGGAGGTCGTGGCCCGGGCTGAAAGCAGGATTAGGCACACTCATTAGCCAGCCGTTACCCCTCGTTAGGAATCCAATTAAGCACGGGCTCTGAGGGGAGGGTCTGAGCCAGCAGAAAGCGCAGGCGAGCAAAAATCTAAAGTTTGGGAAAGGCTGGGATGTTTTTTTACCGTCCCTCAAAATGAAGCATTATTCAGAAAAAAAAACAAGCAAGAGAATTTTTTAAGTATTTTGGGGGACAGTAGAAAAATGTGCTCTCCCCATATTTTCTGCATGCAACACCCCACCACTGAGACACAGAAATGGGAAATTAGGAGGGAATATCTGGAGTTAGGAAAAGTGGAGAAAAACAAACGAAGATGAGATTCTCATGAAGATGAGAGCGAGCTCTCTTTAAGAGTCCTCTTGCAGCTATAACTCTCCTCTGCTTTGCCGATTTTCCATTGCACATCCACTCCCGTTCACAGCTCGCTCTCCAGGCCCAGACTCCAGGGATCTCCGTTCTGCGCTCGTACGATACACCGGCAGAACGACGCCACCGCGTCGCCTTGTCTCTTCTTCTTTCTCAAGTAGAGAGATTGGCTTCTTGCAGCCCCTGATCTCGTCATCATCCCCGGGGGGGCCTGCCGTCACGGGGGCAGCGGTCGAGCCCAGCAGAAAAGACGGCCCTGCTCTGGAAGGGGTCTCCCGGAACGTCGGGTGACGTCTCCGACAGGCCCCACCACGGGGGGCGGAGGCTGCAGGCAAGACTGCCTTCGGGGGGACGGCCCACGACGGGTCCAGACTGTCGTGAACCAACCGGTTAAGCACCGGTGCTTAAGCCAACCGGTCCTCCGTGACCTCCGACCTCCCCAGGGTGACGTTTGTTTTGCCCGTCAGGGCAGTGAAGCGTGGCAAGGCCCTGGTCCGGCAAGGCTAAGGAATGTGCCGAGCCAAGGCAGGTGAAATTAACTAAACGGGCGGGCCCAGCCGTGACTGCTGGGAAAGAGGGGTAATTGCTAGTTTGTCCGGTCCTGTCAGGACAGTGATAATAAAAGCTGCAGATATACAAGCCGACACCTCTGTCCCTAATCACAAGACCCCCCCTTTGTACTTGCAGAAACCTCGGAGCCTGTCCCAGAAATATGGAGTGCACAAATATAATCCAACAACAGTGGAGCTGAATAACAGGTCTATAAATTATCTGTTAAAACAATACGTGTTTACTGCAGATAATACAGTGACTGCTTCTGACTGCAGCTAAAAGACAAAGTCTATACAGTAACTGCTTCTGACTGCAGCTAAAAGACAGAAAGTCTAACTCCAGACGTGATGCAAGCCTGTTTCAAGCAAGTTTGGAATTAAAGCACAAATCATTGAGCTTTCCACAGGCTTTTTTGGTCCCACAGAAGAGAGAAAAATGACTCTTGAAACCAGCAAAGACACAAAAGAGGCCCACGATGGGAAAAAGATTTCCAAACCAGCGGACGTCTATTCTAACTCAACGAAGGAGCGCAGCACATTTTCAAGTAAGAGCGTAAGAAGGTTACAAATGAGAGGAGGTCATCCGGCCCATCGTGCCATTTTAGTAGTTAGTAGTTAATTGATGCCAGGATCTCATCCAGCCAATTCTTAAAAGAACCCAGGATACTGTCGCATAGCTAAATAAGCTTGTTCCACTCTCCCACAACCCTTTGCGTAAAGGGGTGCCTCCGGTCCTGACTGGAGGTTCTTATCCAGCCATTTCTCGGAAGAAGCCAGGGTATCGGCCTCAACCACTACGCGCTCCACCACCCAAAACATCAGGGCCCAGGATTTCTCTGCAGCACCGGAACAGTCAGAAACGTCAGATCGACGGGGGTGTTCCGAGATCTCCCTGCAGTCTCAGCCCGTCCTCCGCATTAGCCATCTGCTAAAGCCCCCGGTCTTGTGCTCTAACACTGAGGGCACGGCCACTGGACACAGGTGCAGCGCCCGGGCTGCAGCACAGAACTCCGCCCCTCTGCTCACAGTTTCTCATGTGTTACGCCACAGCTGTCTGAAGCAGCCAACGTTTTCCAGGAAGACAGCAGAAAACATTTGCCTCTGGGTTGAAGACTTGCAGATGTGGCCTTCTGCACAACGGAGGCCCTAATACAGCCGTTACGCTATCCAGATCAATACACGCACGGCCCCGTGCCTTCGAGTAGCAAACCACCCTGTCACGCCCACAGCCAGCCCTGCTGCTCTCGCGCGCTTAATAAGGCTATCGGATTTCAGAACATAAATAGAATCATGCCCGCTGTTGCGGCGATAATGAGCGTGCCAATTCCGGGCTCAAAGCAATTGCTTTTTTTCAGCATTTTTTTTTTCTCCAAACCCGTGTTAGGTAACCCACAGTGCCTCTTTGTTTGTCGAGGCTGAGGATCTTGCAGAATGTTCCACAGATATTGATTGCACGCACATGTGAACCAGACCGCTCCGACACAGCCTAATAGTGCAGGAGGGGATCTTAAATCTCAGCACATTTAACCCGCTCGTTATTTAAAGGGGATCGGACAGCAGGAGCAGTCAGGGGAGGCCTGGCAGAATTTCCCTATATATTGTATTACAAGTGCAGAGAATTTAAGACCCGTCTCGCCAGGTATAGAGACTCCTGCCTCCCCTGTGGAAAACGCCTGCGTGTTTATCTCTGTGTGCATCATCTCGTACAGCTCGGCCATGGAGAGAATCAGAACTCCGCTGGGGACTGTCCCTCACCTGAAACATCAAAAGTTCCCATTAGGGCTGGCCGTGGCTTGGGTCTGAGAGAGGGACTTTAAAAGTCAGTGCCCCTCAAGCAAGACACATGAACTCTCTGCGCTCGTGAAAGGAACAAGAGAGAAATATCTTAAATGAGAACAGATGGCTCACAGTCCCACTCCAGCCCCCTGGCTGTGCTTTGTAACTGCAGTAGCAGAGCCAACTTCGTCCCCCCTGAGCTCAGCCACTATCCATCACACAGGCCCAGCGCAGTCACACCTGGGCACAGGTGTTAACCATGTGATACCGATAACTTCTGAAGCTCACCGCCGATTTGATTAGGATGCCTTTTCTAAACCTCTCCTCAAGTGAGGGTGGAGGTAAAATTCTTCTTTTCCCCCCATGTCTGAGCTGTCCGAGTCTCGGCCCGCCTGCAGAGCACACAACGGGGGAACCCAACCCAGTGATTCACAAGACCTGCTCCTCGGGGCACCTGTGGCACTTTTCAGAGACCAGAGACCAGAGAGCTGCATCACCCAAATGAGCCCCTGCTACCCTGGACACTCTCCCTAAACTCACAGCACAAATCAGGGATAAGTGTCCTACTTGCATGTGAATGAGTGCGTTGCTGTCCAAGAGGGAGCGCAGACGTGTGTCTGCTGCAGGTCTGGGCCTCCTGAGCCCCGACTCACCTGCGGATCCTTGCCCATCTGCTCACAGTCCTCCCTGTTTCCTGGAAGTGGGGGCCAGTGGATCTGCGGAGAGACGGGGGGGGGGGGCGACACTGGCTCAGGGGTGAGGCCCTCAGAAAATTAGACAAATCATGCTGACCTGGCTGCAAGCAGCCCCCCCCCCAAGACGGGTGTGTTTTTGACAGATCAACAACACAGCTGGGAATTGTTTTCCTAGATAGCCACGAGTGGTGCTCGGGGGAAGATTTAGCACCGGTGCTTAAGGAAGGAAATAATCCCGTGTTCAGTCTTAAATCCACCTGCACATGCACACATGCAAAATCCCCCCAGACTCCCAGCAGGCTCCACGAATTGTCTCCAGCCGGTAAACGACACCATTCGGAAGTCAACCCCCAGCCCCACAATCCCTGTAGGCATCAGCTCCCCGCCACCCGCTCCAGAGTGGGACGAATCCCTGCTGACCCGTGGGGATCCTGGCCTTCGAGGCAGAGTCGCTGTAACAGTGACATCCCGCCTTACAGCCTGGGAACTCCAAAATCCCCCCATCCCCGTGCCCCCCGCGCGCTCATGATGCTGATAAGGCCAGATTTATAGGCGCAAGATGTTCAAGGAAGAGAAGGGAAGAAGGTGCTTTCTGAGACTCCGAGCAACAGATTTTAGCACTGAAGTTTCTGGCTGCGGCTGGAGCCCAGGAGGGAAACTACCGCAGCAGTGTCTGGAGAATGTAAATGAGTCTGGGAGGAAAAGAGCACCGGCCCTGATAAGGAGATGCCTGACAGCTCAATGGGAAACCTCCCCAAAAACAATACCGACAGGAGGGATAAGCCCAGCTGTGTCTGCAAATGGGATCAAGGGAATTCTCCAGACATAAGCTCCCTGATGTTCCCAAAACTCCCACCTCCCAATCCCAGACATTTCAGTGGGATCCAGCAGACTCACTACTGCTAAAGAAAACTAAAAAGCCAACAGGTAGCATACTCTATTGCACTAGAGGTTCAGACACAACAGTGGTCCGTTATGTGTCGTAGGTGCCGTTTATTCAGAAAGAATGGTGGTCGAAATTCCTATACAGCTGTGATGCTAGTGTAACAAACTACCAGCGTATATTGTGTACTGTAACTTGATATGCTGTAGGAACAGTGGTCTGTATAGAGGTATATCTCTAGTGGTTTAGGTATAATTCAAGATCCATAAAATATTGCAATCGTAATTGAGTAGAGATAGTGGTCTCAAGTATCATTCAATATGTGTGGTATTACACATATTATGCCACATTGCAGTTGTAATCAATATGATTCATTTTTTATAATTCCATAGAGACAGTTGTCTGAACTGTAACTCAGTTATGATGGTGGTCTATATTCTGTATTACATCTATGATTCCATGGAGACAATGGTCTGCACTGCAACTCAGTTAGGATAGTGGTCTATATACTGTATTACAGTGGTAATGCATGGAGACAGTGGTCTGTAGTGTACTGTAACTCAGGATAGTGGTCTGTGTACTGTATTTCAGTTGTAATGCGTGAAGACACTTGTCTGTACTGTAACTCAGTAAGGACAGTGGTCTGTGTACTGTATT